CTCATCTCCAATTTGCAAACAACACAGTTCTCTTTGTGGAAAAGGGTGTGCAAGGTGCAATTAACATTCAAAAGATCTTAAGGTGTTTTGAATTAATTTTTGATTTAAGAATAAATTTTTGAAAATCCAATTTATTTCTTACTGGTATTAAGACTAAGAGTGGGGAGGATATGGCCAAAATTTTAAGGTGTCAGGTGGGCATATTGCCTTTTCCTACTCAAGTATTCATTTAGGGACTAGTTCGAGAAGTAAAGTGGTCTGGGAGCCAATTGTTGATAAATTTAGAAAACGATTAGCTTTATAGCAAAAAAAGTGTCTTTCTTTTAGTAGTAGCATGACATTGATTTATTATGTCTTGAATTCACTTTTAATTTATTATCTTTCTATATTTTAAGAACCAAAAGGAGTATTGAAAAGACTTGAATGAATTAGGAGAAATTCTTATAAGAGTGGTGAGAAATGAAAGAAGATAGTGAAGGTTCGTCGGCGAATGGTGTGTAAACCTAAGGCACTAAGAGTTTTAGGCGTATTAAACCTATCACACAAAAACTTAGGCTTTTTGGAGAAATGGTGGTGCCATTAAGGTGAGGAAAGGAATGCCTTATGGAAGAGGTTGATAGTCAAAATGCATGGTGTTTACATGTTAGAATGAGCCTTGCAGCCAATTGGATTGGTTAATGCTTAGATCTAACCATGCAATTATATCATTCATGCTGAAAAATTAGAGGTTTTCTTTGATCAATAAAACAACGATTATAAGTTATTGAATGAAGTCCATATTATTAACATGTCTTGCAAGGGAATTGTAAAGTGTTACAATTATGAGATCACTGTGCATTAAAAGCATAATCTCTAAATGTTCCTAGTCAATGTATCATTGAGACTTAATATCAATGATGCTTAAAGACTGGTTTATTTTATATACCTTACTTGAGAAGAAAGTAATCAATCTTATAGGTTGAAGTATAAAGATATTTAGAACTAAAATGTGGGTGCTTGTTTTTGGAACAAGTTAATTGAATATGACCCATCATGAGAAGTGCGTCTGATATCTCACTCTAGTGTCTATGCAATACTTTTCATGTGCCAGTTGTGTAAATACTCTTTAGACTTGAGACATCAGGTTGTCTTATATGTAAAGTGTTGTACTTTGCTTTTGTCTCTATAGGTCTTATTAAGGATGCAAAAATAGGATATTGTTAGGTATAGCATGAAGAATGTGAAGGCAAAAGAGTGGTAAAGATAGGAATCATCATCTCAAGTGATTTAGGGGATATCTTAATTGTTCTTGG